TTTTTTTGCAGTACGCGGGCCTCTCACTGTTGTGGCCTCTCCTGTTGCAGAGCACAGGCTTCGGACGCGCAGGCTCAGCGGCCATGGCTCACGGGCCCGGCCGCTCCGCGGCATGTGGGATCTTCCCGGACCGGGGCACAAACCCACGTCCCCTGCATCGGCAGGCGGACTGTCAACCACTGCGCCACCAGGGAAGCCCTGTTTATCTATTTTATACAGAGTAGTTTGTATCTGCGAATCCCAAGCTCTTAATTTATTCCTCCCCTACTTTCCCCTTTAGTAACCATAAGTTTGTTTTCTATGCCTGTGAGTCTGTTTCTATGTTGTAAGTAAGTTCATTTGTATCCTATTTTAGGTCCCACATATAAGTGATATCATATGATATTTGTCTTTCTCTGTCTGACTGACTTCACTTAGTATGATAATTTCGAGGTCCATCCATGTTGGTGCAAATGGCATTATTTCATTCTTTTTTATGGCTAGTAGTATTCCATTGTGTATATATATACCACATCTTCTTTATCCATTCCTCTGTCAGTGGACACTTAACTTGCTTCCATGTCCTGGCTATTGTAAATAGTGCTGCTGTGAACATTGAGGTGCATGTATCTTTTTGAATTAGAATTTTCTCTGGATATATGCCCAGGAGTGGGATTGCTGGGTCATATGGCAACTCTATTTTTAGTTGTTTAAGGAACCCCCATACTGTTTTCCATAGTGGTCGCACCAGTTTACATTCCCATAAAGGTTCAGTTTTGCAAGATAAAAAAATTGTAGAGATCTGTTGCACAACCATGTGAATATACTTAACACTGCTGAACTGTACACTTAAAACGATTAGGATGGTAAATTTAATGTTACGTTTTTTACCATAAAAAAATAGCTGAGTACCAGGCAGAAAGGGGTAAATGCCACAGTAAGTATAATAAGATGCTTTGAAAATTTAGCTGGAGAAGAGTTGACTGAAAAATTGGTGGGGCGCTTCCCTGGTGGCGCAGTGGTTGAGAGTCCGCCTGCCGATGCAGGGGACGTGGGCTCGTGCCCCGGTCCGGGAAGATCCCACGTGCCGCGGAGCGGCCGGGCCCGTGAGCCATGGCCGCTGGGCCTGCGCGTCCGGAGCCTGTGCTCCGCAGCAGGAGAGGCCACAGCAGTGAGAGGCCCGCGTACCGCAAAAAAAAAAAAAAAAGTTGGTGGGAGTGCAGGAGAGGAAGCAGTTCCGAGGTTTTATGGCAGTGGCAACATTTGTGATGGGTCTTCAGGAAAAAAGATATGATTTTGACATTCAGGGATGGTGGCGGACATGGAGTAGGGAAAAGCACGTAGTGCAAATGACGATGTTGAGTACGTGAGATGAGCGTGGTGCCCTGGACCGCTGCGGGCCATTTTGGCGCCTTTGTGCACAGTAGAAAAAGATGCCGCTTTCTCCTGAGGGCCTGGCTTGGCAAGCAGAGTGTGACTGGGTTTCAGCTGGGGTCCCTTTTGCAGTTCAAGTTCTGCAGAATGGAATTGGCTGGCCTAGGCCCACAAAGAGGTAAGAACTCAGCTGGGGAGAAAGATGATGAACTCAGTTTGGGGCATAGTGAGTTCCGTGGGTCAGCAGAAGGTCCAGGCGGAAATAGGAAACTTAAAACTAAAGATGTAGGACCAGTGTTTGGAGGAAAGTTTAGGATTCAAAGTGTAGACTTAGGAGTCACTTTCATGGTGTTAAAACTTTAATAAATTGTTCATATGGTACCACTTAACTCCACTTAATTATAGAACGTTGGAGTGGCCATCAAGGAGGCAGACAGCGCCCTCTGGTGGAAATACGAAAACACTCCTTATCACTACCATCCACAAAATAATTTTGAGCAAATACTGTTCAAGAGCATTCTTTTTTTAAATTAATTAATTAATTAATTTTTACTTTTGGCTGCGTTGGGTCTTCGTTGCTGCGCGCGGGCTTTCTTTAGTTGCGGCGAGCAGGGGCTACTCTTCGTGGTGGTGCACGGGCTTCTCATTGCGGTGGCTTCTCTTGTGGCGGAGCACGGGCTCTAGGTGCGCAGGCTTCAGTAGTTGTGGCACGTGGGCTCAGTAGTTGTGGTGCACGGGCTTAGTTACTCCGCAGCATGTGGGATCTTCCCGGACCAGGGCTCGAACCCGTGTCCCATGCATTGGCAGGCGGATTCTTAACCACTGCGCCACCAGGGAAGCCCCAAGAGCATTCTTTTGCTGCCTGGAGTGCCACATGGGTCTGTTTAGCCCTGGCTGTGCCAGACACTGGGATTCCCTTCTCCTCCCTGAAACTGTATTCCT